GGATGGAAGGGAGGGATCGGATGACAGATATGGCGCGAGCGCACCTAGCTTGTCTTCCTGCCATCTTCCACCTCCTTCTCCCCCTCATCATCATCCACCTCATTCTCCTCCTCCTCATCATCATCCACCTCCTCCTCCCCCTGCTCCTCCTCTTCCTCCTCCTCCTCTTCCTCTTTTTCCCTCGCCTCCTCCTTCTCCTCCTCATCCTCATCATCGTCATCATCGTCAGCAGAATCATCATCATCAGCATCAGCATCAGCATCAGCATCAACATCATAATCATCATCAGTATCAGCAGCGGCACCACCATCATCATCAACAGCATCAGCATCGTCGTCTGCAGCATCATCATCAGCATCACTATCATGAGTCTCATCGTCGTCGTCATCGTCAGCAGCAGCACTATCAACATCATCAGCATCAGCATCGACATAATCACCAGCACCATCATATTCAGTGTCGCCGCTATCACCATCGCCATCAGCATCATCACTAACCATCATCATCACCATCAGCATCAGCATCAGCATCAGCATCAGCAGCAGCATCATCAACAGCATCAGCATCGTCGCCATCATCACCATCATCACAAAACTCATCCTCATCATCAGCAGCATCATCAGCAGCGTCCACCTAATCATCATCATCATCATCAGCAGCAGCAGCAGCAGCAGCAGCACCAGCAGCAGCATCAGTATCATCATCATCATCATAATCAGCATCATCACCACCACCACCACCATCATCCGCATCATCATCAGCAGCAGCAGCAGCATCGTCATCATCAGTAGCAGCAACAGCATCAGCTGTATCAGCATCATGATCGTCATCAGCAGCAGCATCATCATCATGATCGTCGCAATCATCACCATCAGCATCATCATCAGCAGCATCACCATCTGCATCCTTATCCCCCTGGCCCCTGTAGGCTGGGGTGCGAGAGACGAGTGAGGGTAGCACCTCAATAGCCACCACCGGCCCAAAGCACACGCTCCTGCCGCCCTTCCCCTCCCCCCCCCCCGCCTGTCTGAGTCGCGCCCGAGCGAGCGTGGAGTGGCCACGCCAGGGGGAGGTCAGCCGTGCGAGCCCTTCCCTTCTCCGCCCTTCCCTTCCGGTCTCCCCCCCCCCTGCCGGAGTCGCGCCCGAGCGAGCGTGGAGAGGCCATGTCAGGGGGGAGGTCAGCCGTGCACCACCGTTGGACATGACAGTCCCCGGGCCACCCATATGGGCGCGTCACGAGCTTCCCCCCCCCTTGCCGTCGCTCGGACGTCCAGTGCATTTTTCGGTTTCGTGCGTGTTTTTTGTTGCTCCATGGTCCAGAATGGTCCTCGATGGTTCTCGCCGAGAAAAAATGCACACGTCCGAGCGATGCCAGGCCCCCCTTCGGTGGCATTCCATGGGAGCCTCCCAAGCCATCTTGTCGGCTCTTGCGAATCGACGCTGATCGACGCTAAATCGACGCTGATCGACGCTGAGTCGACGCTAATCGACGCTAGCCGACGCTAAATCGGCGCTATCCCATCGACTCCCACACGCGAATCGACGCTAGAGACGGAAGTAAGAGGGCATACCAGGCTCCCATAATTTACTACCGACCCCCCCCCGCCGGTTGCGCCAGAACTGTGCCCAATCCGTGCCCCCGAATTCGGCACATTATGGCCTAGGCAAGTACTTCAAAACCTACTGCTGGCCGTCAGGCCCGCCAAGGGTGCAAAAGATGCAAAAGGTGCAACAACCTGAGGACCTTCCACCCCTAAGGGAAGCGTATCGTCTTACAGTCCCCATCATCCTCCTCTGCCGTGCATAATATCCTCTGCACGTGCTTCTGTAGTAAGCATGGTGCGGTAGCGGAAAAGCAGAATCGCCTTTTTGAGTCGCACGTGCACCAATGTCAGGAGCGAGACCCGACAAAATTTTCTCGATCAGGCTACAGCTGGTTCGAAGCCGTAAGTCTTCAGTCAGCCAAGCCGAGAAGAAAGATAGGCAGTCGAGCTCCCCGTCAACAGGTTAGTTAGAACATTGCCGCGCATCCACAAAAGGCTCCATTACACTTCGCTTCCTCCTCCTCCTCCTCCTCCTCCTCCTCCTCCTCCTCCTCCTCCTCCATCATCATCATCATCATCATCATCATCATCATCATCATCATCATCATCATCATCATCATCATCATCATCATCATCATCATCATCATCATCATCATCATCATCATCATCATCATCATCATCATCATCATCATCAGCATCATCATCATCATCATCATCATCATCATCATCATCATCATCATCATCATCATCATCAGCATCATCATCATCATCATCATCATCCCTCATCATCATCCTCCTCCTTAACCGCATCCTCCTCCTCAGCTTCGTCGTCCTCCTCGCCATGCTTCCCCTCCTCCTCTTCCTTCTTCTCCTCTCCTCCCTCCTCCTCCTCCTCCTCCTCCCTCTTCCTCCTATTAATCGGGCCTCCTCGTCGTTATATTTTCTCCTCGCCTCTCTCCTCCTCCTCCTCCTCCTCCTCCTCCTCCTCCTCCTCCTCCTCCTCCTCCTCCTCCTCCTCCTCCTCCTCCTCCTCCTCCTCCCCCCCCCTCCTCCTCCTCTTCCTCCTCCACATCTTCCTCTTCCTCCTCCTCCTCTTCCTCCTCCTCATCCCCCTCCCCCACCTCCTCCTCCTCCTTCTACATCACCACCATAATCATAAGCATAATCAGCATCACCCGTACGAATCCTTATCCTCATCCTCACACTCACCCTCGCACAACAACTCCTCCTCCTCCTCCCCATCCCAGTCCTCCTCCTCATCCTCCTCGCCCCTCTCCTTCTGCCGCGGGCCAAATAGACCCGTCGCCGGCAACCATCACCAAAGTCGCCAACAGCAGGGCAGAATGCGTCGCCGCGGACGCACACCCAGCCCTGTGACGGGCGCATGCTGCGCCGCCAGGGCGGGCAAGGCTGCAAGACAACGGCACTGCATACCTGGCTGTCCTCCTCCCCTTCCTCCTCCTGTTCCTCCTCCCCCTCCTCCTCCTCCTCCTCCTCCTCCTTTTCATCGCGCCTCCTGATCCTCATCTCTCTCTCCTCCCTCTGCCTCCATCCCATTTCCTCACAAGTAGCGCCTCCCTGTCGCACTCCTAGACGTGTCGGTAAGGCGAGCCAGGCGTTTCGCCTGAGACTTCCCCACCGTGTATGATCTTGAAGCTTGAAATGTGCAGCAGGTTCACGAGTGAAAGGCGGGTGGTGGTCAAAATATGGCACTCGCCTAAACGCCACGCAAAGTCGTCATCAAAAGCTTGCAACTGTTTAAAGGATATGGCGGGTGGTATTCAATACGCGGTTCTCGCCTGAGAGCCGCGCACATTCCTTTGCGAGTATCATAATAGCTTCAAGGATGGAGGGCGGGTCGTTTTCAAAAGGTGGCTCTCGCGTCTTAGCGCCCCGCACACTCGTCTCACACGTTCGCAACCAATTACAGGGCTCATACGGTTGCAGGCCCAAGATTAGCATTCTGGCGCGGATGTAGGGTTGTCAGGACGCAACAACCACTTTGATTCGCGGAGGGAGGGTGGCTACTTTTCAATATGTGACTCTCATCTGAGTGCCACGCCCATTCGTTTTATTGAAAGTTTACACCAGCGAGACGGATGAAGGGTAGTTCCTTTGAACATGTGGCTCGCGCTTTAGGGCCGCGCGCAGTAGCCTCAAAAGTGTACAGGTGTTTCGGGGGATCGTACGGTGAAGTCCCAGGAATGTTCTGGCGCGAAGTAGGGATTGCCAGGACGCACCAGTCACGTTGATTCGCGGTGTTCAAGGTCCCAAGAGTGGCGGTCCGGCACGATTTTGGATCGTCAAGACGCAACAAGCTTTTGATCCGTGGCGTTGAAGTCCCGGGACCCGCGTTTTAGCACGATTGAGGGTTCTCAGCCGACTGTCTTCGAAGGAGCACTTCCCGCAACGAACATACAGTGACAGCGTTGCAGGAGCCTGTGAAGAGGGAACTTGGACGGAGGGATTATTGCAACACTGTTGATGCGTCTTGGGTTTACACTGGCCATCCTCCTCGTCCTTCACATCCTCCTTGATATCGAGGGGTGAGTCGCAGCGAGACTCGCAAAGCAGCAGGGGCTCGAGGAAAATGCCTGCTCAACCCCCGCGATCTTAAAGTAGCGAGGGCTGGCTGTCCTGCTCTGGGGGGGGGTCGCCCGATCTACCCAGACCTCCAGCGACTCGAAAGAACTAGTCGCTGGCGTTGTAAAAAATGTTCTGACGTCCGAAACGATCTTGATACTCCAGATTTCGTAATAAAGGGAGGGGGGTCTCATTTCGGGGGGGTGTCTCTTCCAGGCTATCTCGGAGGGCCTGGGGGGTCTGGGGACGATGTTTTGGAGGGTTCTCCCACGGGGGAGGTCTGAAATGGCTTGTCTTGGAGGGTCCAGACCCCCTCCCTTTTCTTACGAAATCTGGAGTAAGGATCGCCCTCTTAAGAGAAGAATGACGCCGAATGCTTTGGACAAAAGTTCGGCCTCTCGAGGCCCCTGCCCGTCAACCTTCGTCATCAGACGGCGTGGGATGAAAGGCCAGTCCCGGGGAAAGGGTCGAGAGCTCCAGCGGCCGGCGGCTCGAAGAGATCGAGTCACCGGAGGTCTGGGCGTCACCGGACCTGGTTCACTCTCGATCACACGCTGAAGGGTGCTGCCAGATGCTACTGGGCAAGGAACGCTTTGCTACTGCTGCGCGGGTGGGTCAGAGCTCCACGGGGTCCTCGTCGACATTCTGGGCTGCGGTCGCCGCGCCCATCGAGGCCGCACGCTCGCCCTGGCCCACGTTCCTCTCTTGCAGGGCCATCGAACCTGTGGCCGTCGTCGACGGCGCCTCCCCTGCCACCAGCTCGTCCTCGTTTTCCTGTTTCACCGACGGCGGACCCACAATTGCTGCATGTCCATGGAGCTCAAGCACATCGCCGTCTTCGTCGCCGCCAGCTACCGCTGCCAACACATCGTCAGCTGCCAGAGCCGAAAGCAAATCGGTGAGCTTCTGGTGGGTAACGGTGCCCGACCCGTTGCTGTCCAGGACGCTGAAGAGCATGTCAATCTCGTCTTCAGGCATACTCAAGTCTACCATTCTGGAAATCGTATCTATGAAGCGATCTCGCGTCATCTCTGGTTCCGTGAAGACCTTGCGCCTAATCGACTGAATCTTCTGCTGAAAAGATCTCGTGCTGCTTTGCAAGGGATCTTGATCCGATCTGCGATTGTCCTCCAGATCTGAGCCAAGGCGCCTCATTTGCAGAACGCCTCGGATTGCCGAGTGGCGGTGGTCAATGCTGCCGCGGGATGACACTAGAAGCGACGACGTAGACTCTGATTGCGGTATTGCCTTGGCCAACTTCAGCACGCACATGCGAAACCGCATGCTCTGGTCCAGTCTCTCGCGCAGGCGGCCTGACCTCGACTCCCGAAGAAAGCCGAGCACCCTCCGACCATGGTCCCACACCTCGAGCTCCCTTCCGGCTATCAGCCGCTGGCGCATCCAGCCCGAACTCTCCTGCTGACCGAACATCACATTCTTGATGGTCTTCGTCACGCCCAGGATCAGGGCGCGATCGGTGTCACCAATAGCGGCCAGCCTCCTGGCATACTCCTCCTCCGGCATCATCAACAACGCGAGCGACATGTCGCGAAGGTGCCACATGGCCCGTGCTGTCTTCACCCGCTTAATGCGAACACTTTTCATGGAGGAAGCGACATCTCTCATGAAAAGGGCGAGGGCAAAGGCGAAAGCACTGGTCAAGGTAAAAACAGCGAGGTGCGCCCAAATATTATTCGTTTGGTTGCGCTCCGACTTTGTGACGCTGTCCGTGTCGATGAAAGAGGTTGTGAGCATCAAAAGAATCAACAACGCAATTTTACATACGTAATCTACCCAATTATTGGAGTCGAACTTCCACGGCCAAGAACCGTAAATGACCACACTCACCAGAATCATTAACAACGCGCTCGTGTACACATGGGAATGCAAATTGTCGGCCGGAAGGACCACCTGCACTAGGCAAAGGGATAATCCTAAGGACATCTTGACCATGATCCACCACCAGCGGTCCGGACGCTTCGTGCCAAAACAGAACCTGTACCGCGCAAGAAAACCAGGTTCGGTGCCCACACGCCTGGGTGCAGTGAGCACAGCATACACGACATAGCTATAGGTCGTGAGCCCATACAAACATGTGGCGAACAAGTTTATCGGCAGATACAGCATCCACGAAGGGGAGCCATACTCCAACTGTGGGAAAGCGATAACCATGTCCTTGCCATTGGGCATTCGCTCTGTGTAGAACAACGAAAGCGAGAGAACCACCAAAGACATGAACAAGTTCGCGAATACAAGGCAAATCAAGTTGTGCACAAAATCACGCCTCAGAGTCCCACCGCACATGACGAATACGACTTGCATCATCGCAAGATTTGCGAAGAGTACGAGCGGCGTCGACGTCTCTTGCAATATGTTGAACGTAATACTGCCGCCAAAGGGGCCGAAAGTGCACTCGGGCTTGAAACTCAGTTTTTTGATGAAGCCAGGGATGGTGAAGATACCAAAAAAATCAAAGAAGCTTTGAAGGACGGGCGGTACAACGATGTCTAGGCGACTCAGGGTCTGAATAATCTGGACAAAGTCGACCAGCAATTCAAACATTCCTTGGTTTGCAGCGATTCGCATGTCTGAGCTAGGGCTGTTAACAATGATATAGAATGCGATTGTGAATAGAAGCTGAGCCACCCCGCTCACGATGTACCTGGCCATGACGAACCCCACGGTGACGTCACTGCACAACCGACAGGTTCCATCGCTTAGGTACCTGTCTGGCAAGCATTCTGCACACCGTGCTGATGCCGAATCAAAACCTCCACTGCACATATTGGCTAAGACTTGGCGGTTCCCTGCGCAACGCTGCGCTTGAACGCACTGATACACTGAAAACGGACTACTTCTCAGGGTCATGTAACCCTCCTTGACTGTAACTGACGTGTCATCGACGCCAGGATCTGCTTCGAGGTGCCCACCAGGGCATTCAAAATACTCCTCGCATGGGCTGCATCCACCAAGCCTTGCCGAAAATCTCGTCCCCTCTGGGCATGTACACCCGTGGACGCTTAACTCGAATCCAGGGCTGCATGCCGTGACGACAAGAGGAGGGAACGCTGATTCATCGATGATGCGGCCGTCCCGCGGAAAGAAAGTGGCCCCATCAAGCCCAGTGTCTTGAAATGCATATTCCTCTATCCATGCTACTGCGGCTGGAATGCTCAAGTTTCTCAGCGATGAGCAATTCCTGAAAGCAGACTTACCAATCGTGATCGTGCTACTCACCCAATTCAATGGAATGCCCCATTCAATACTCTGCAGGGAACAGCAATTGTAAAATGCACCCTGGTGGATGGCGAAAACCCTCTCCGGAATGAAAACATGCGATAAGGCAGTGCAATCTGCAAAAACGTGATCCCCCAGCTCTGTAAGACTATTCAGAGCTGGCGTTGATGACAATGCTGAGCAGCCAGCGAAAGCGTAGCTTCCCACATAAACCACAGAATCACCGATGTCGATCCGCTTGAGACGTGAGCAACCGTGGAAAGCAAATTCACCGATAGATGCAATATGAGAATGGTCAAGTGCTGTCAGGTTCTCCAATGCATTACAACCAAAGAAGGTGTAGCCAGCGATTTCGGTTACGTTGGCAGGGAGCTCCATGTGAACCAAGGACGTGCACCCCTGAAATGCTCCGATTCCTGAGGAGAAAGATGTCCCCCTCGCGGCGCGTTTTTCCCCCCATCGAAAACTCCCCTGGCTTTCGCGAGCCAGTTCCCCTCCAGGCTTCCTGTTCCACCTCGAGCTCGTGGTCTCTCTCTGAGCTGCTGGTGGTTCCTGGAGCCCCCAATCCGCCCTCCCCCCTCCCGCGCGCCCACGGCACGAGACCTGGGAGGCACGCCGCAGAGGGTGCCCCCTTTCCTGGGGCGGACCAAGCGGGCCCGCGCCCGAGTGGACCCGTGGAACTGAAGGCGCACCTAGAGAAGGCCGGAGAAGGGGAAGCCGCCAGACTTGCCGCAATCCACCACCACCTCGCTCATGGGATTCGGGCGTGGATGAGGTGCCTGAGAATGTATATGACCAGGCCCGGAACTGAAGATGAGTATTGTGCTCGGGATAGGGTTCTGAGGACTGCATTGGAAATGTGGGCTTATTCAGCTCAGGCTAGGCTTCAGGGTTCTACCTGCCCGACCTCAGGGTCAGTGATAAGGTTATCCGTGTCAAGCCACATAGCGTGATGGTGCCATGCACTGACACTTGAATGGCTTACTGGTTAACCTAGTGTGATTGGAATGCTAAGGAGGAACGGCTTTGGGGTAGGGTTGATGCTGTTCGGTTCAACCTTCTCGGGAATGCATCCCTGGTCCTTGAAGCTGTCGACGGTGTCTCAGTCCTGCGCCCGCCCGTTTGATTCACCTGGTGGCTCACATCACCCCACTCACACACAGGAGTACCCCATCTGATCTTTGAAAGTGCTGGCTGGCTACTTCCAGATTCTGGGCACCCTGTGGAAAAGCCAGCACAAGTCAGTTTCGCCCACCCCGCACGTAATTCCCCCCCTTTGTTGCGGTCCGCCACTTTGGGTGCCTGCATGGACACCCATCGAATGGTAGCGGTTCACCTCGCACTGTTGCTGACCCATCGAAACCTCCTGTCCTAGTTTAAACAAAGTTGTGGACCAACCCAGGGGACAGTTTTCACCCTCACACAGAGCCCAACAAGACACCAGCGGTGGCGCGGGCAAACTCTAACCAGACCGTCACAAGCTATTCCTCACCCTGTCCTCCACACTCCTGTTCCTGCTCCTGCAATTCCTCCTCCTCCTCCTTCTCATCCTCCTCCTCCTCCTCCCCCGCAACATCGTCATCATCATCAGACTCATCATCATCACCATCATCATCATCAGCAACAAAATCATCATGACTATCATCACCATCATCATCATCATCATCATCATCATCATCATCATCAGCATCAGCATCATCATCATCATCATCATCATCGCCATCAGCATCCTCATCATCATCAGCATCATCGTCAGCATCATCATCAACATCATCATCAGCATCATCACCGGTAAAGCGTCAGTCCGGCATGAATCGCGAGGAAGTCTCTAGCGTTAGCGCGATTCTTAAATACATCGCGGGGAAGTCCAGTGCAAGAACGTGATTATTGAGTGCTGGGGGCGTGGCGTTTCAATAGATTGCAAGAAAGGAGCACGCGAGAGTGCGATTCCTGGATAAAGTCTAAAGGTATTCGGCGCGAGAGCGCGATTTTGAGTAACTTGTGAAGTATCCGACGGGAGCCATGTTGTTCGGAGGCCAATAACGCAATCTGAAGCCAAAGACTTCCGCTTGGTGGCAGTTCACTCGAAAAACGGCAACGGCAACAGAGGGGGAACAGCAACGATCATGCTGTAGACATTGGAATTCAGCACTCATTCTAAGACTGATCGCTCTTATCTGACCATGTGCCATTCAACACGTATATCCCAAACCTCCGATGACCGCCTCCTTCATATTCGATCGTATACCCCTTCGGGGTACATCTTCCTTACCTGCCACACGTATCCGGCGCAGCCCCTAAAACAGGGGAGGAAAGGACAGGTGTAAGGAGGGGACGACGGGGAGCGAGAAGGATGGAGCACGCGGTAGAATAGCAGGAGGGGGTCTAGGAACCGGAAACAAGCGGCAGAACCAGGCGGGCAGATCGGGCGGGCAGACCCTAACGGGAGGGTCGGGAAGGCGCGCCCAGGCGGCCAGGTCGAGCAGGCGGGTTGCTGAAGCGTGGGTCCTGCATGAATCGCGAGGAAGTGTCGAGCGCTAGCGTGAATCCCAAGTGAGACGTGAGAAAAGCCAAAAACCGAGAGCGTGATTCCTACGTGTCGAGGGCGCGGCGTCTGAAAAAGTGGGGGTCACTGTCGTTGTACACCGGGGGGGGCAGGCAACACAGTCTGAGCCCCAAGACTTTCCCTTGTTAAACTAGTGCGAGGCCCGTGAGAAGCACTTGAAGTCAAACACACCATGAGCACCAGAGGGGGGGATAAACAATGATTATTCCCAAGAAATGAATATTCAACAACAATCATGTCACAAGGACAATCGGATTAAAATTGTTCGTTCTTACCTGCTCGCGTGTTATTCAACATGAATATCTCAAACATTCGACACTCGCCCTCTTCGTCTTCGATCATGCCCCCCTTGAGGGTACGTATTCTTTGCCAGCCACGTGCAGTTGGCGCAGCCCCTGCAGCAAGAGAAAAGAGAAAAGGACAACGGGGATAGAGAAGGAAGGAGCGCGATAGACTCGATCGCGCTCCTTGGTCTGCCGTGCGAGGGACAGCGCCGCGGTCGCCGCAAATTGCAAGCCGCGACCGCGGCACGCGCGGCCCTGGGAACGCCGGCGCGGGCGCGGGCGCGTCTAGCGGGTCCAGGACGTCGCCGCGCGCGCGGCGCCCCCCTGCGGCAGCTGGCAGTGGCCTCGCCTATGGGGCGCCTACACTTACGCACATGTGCCGTACAAAACGCTGACATCTAAAATCCATAATTGTGGGGGCTGGGGTCGGTATGCCACTGGTCATAGAGATTATCGGGCCGGGCGAAAGGGGGGGATTGCAAAGGGGGGGTGTTTGAGAATCAGCTCGCGTAGCTGATTCTCCCAGCGCCTCCCGGCGCCGGAGGCGGCTATGTATCGAGGAATGGGCCCCTTCGGTGGGGCCGAAACCAGCTGCATGCATCAAATTTCGTACCCCCCTTTCCCAATCCCCCCCTTTCGTCCGGCCCGAGATTAGCGGGAGGGGAGTCAGGACGCAACGAATAAGCCGCGCCCTGACGGCGCATCGGCAGCAATTGCAAGTAAAATTAGCACATGTGTGGTACCATGCAGAAGAGGACGCTGCAAAGACGCTGAGCAGCAGCAGTGCCTCGGTCGACAGGCGCTCGGCACTTTGTTCAGAAGAAAAAGGCAAGCGGCAGAGCCAGGCGGGCGGGTCGGGAGGGGCAGGGCCGGGCCGGGCGGGCGCTCGGGCGGCAGCGCGGTCGGGCGGGCGGGTCTCTGAGGCGTCCGTCCTGCACGAGTAGCGCGATTCCCAAGTAAGTTTGTGAGGAAGGCCAAAGCGAGAGCGTGAATTCCTGAGAGTTGGCGGCGCGGCACTCCAATCAATGGCGCGATTCCTGGTAACTTGTGAGAGAGCTCCGCGAGAGAGCGCGGTGTGGAATTCGCCGGCCCAACGGGCCAGAGGCGTGCTAAGATCTCCGGTAACTGCTAAATAATACTTCTACTTCGCGCGCGCGGGGCGGCCCCTGGGGGTCCCCGGACGAAAAGTACCCCGGGCGATCCCCGGCAGGGTCGGGTCAGAGATGGTTTTCCTCCTGGGCGCCGCCCCCGTGGCCCTCCAGAGAGCCCCAAGAAGGGCCACGAGGCCGCCAAGAGCCCTCCAAGATGGTTCAAGACTGCTCCGAGATGCCACACGATCGTTCCAAGACGCCCAAGATGGCCCCCAGACGCCACAAGAGGCCTCCAAGAGCACTCCCCAGAGGGCTCCAAGAGGCAAAATTCATTACTTTTCCTTAGGTTTTGGGCAGATTTTGGCGTGTCCATCTTTTCGGCTTCCCGACGCCCCAAGACGGCCCAAGAGGCCCCCAAGATCGCCCCAAGAGGGCCCAAGAAGCTCCCAAGAAGGCCCCCTAGATGGCCCAAGAGGGCTCCAAGACGGCCCCAGAGGCATCCAAGACAGCCCAAGAGGGGCCCAAGAGGGCCCCAAGCGATGCCCCAAAGGGGCAACACAAAACAAAACTTCGAGCCCTCGGCCTTAAGAAGCCCCCAGGAGGCCTCAAGAGGCCCCTGAGAGGCCCCAAAAGCCCCCAAGAGGCCCTCAGGAGGCCCCCAAGCGACGCTGAAGAGGCCCCCCAGCGGCCCCAAGAGGCTCAGTCATGCGAAATGGGCCGGCGGAATGAGCGAAGCGATTCAATAAACTGTGGGGGAGTATCCGGCGGGAGCCGTTCTTGTTGTGGCAGTTCGGGGGCCAACAGCGCTTTCTGAGGCCCAATACTCACCCGTGTAAATTATCCCGGCAAAGCAACCTAACAGCGATGTGTAGAAGCATATCTGAGGGCATTCCCCTTAAGATTCAGATGAAAATCCAGTTGTCGAATTCTGCTGTTCTCGCAGTCGTAGTCGCATTCGCGATGACAGTCGCAGCGGCAACGGCAGTCGCAGTCACAGCCTCAGCCTCAGCCTGCCTCCTCCTCCTCCTCTTTCTCCTGCTCCTCCTCCTCCTCCTCCTCCTCCTCCTCTTCCTCCTGTCGTCCTCGTTCTCGTCCTCCTCGTCTTGCTCGTCCTCCTCCTCCTGGTGCTCTCTCCTGCTCCTGGTGGTCCTCCCCTCCTCCTCCTGCCTCCTCCTCCTCGTCCTCCTCCTCCTCCTCTCCTCCTCCTCTCCTCCTCCTCCTCCTCCTCCTCCTCCTGGTAGTCCTCTCCCCTCCTCCTCCTCCTCCTCCTCCTCCTCTTCCTGGTCGTCCTCGTTCTCGTCCTCCTCGTCTTGCTCGTCCTCCTCCTCCTGGTGCTCTCTCCTCCTCCTCCTCCTCCTCCTCCTCCTCCTCCTCCTCCTGGTGGTCCTCGTTCTCCTCCTCCTGGTACTCTCCCCCCCCCTCCTCCTCCTCCTCGTCCTCGTCCTCCTCCTCCTCCTCCTCCTCCTCCTCCTCCTCCTCCTCCTGGTACTCCTCCCCCTCCCCTCCTCCTCCTCCTCCTCCTCTTCCTGGTCGTCCTCCTCCTCCTGGTCGTCCTCCTCCTCCTGCTCGTCCTCCTCCTCCTCCTGCTCGTCCTTCTTCTCCTGCTCCTCCTGCTCCTCGTCCTGCTCCTGCTCGTCCTCGTCCTCCTGGTCTTGCTCGTCCTCCTCCTCGTCGTGCTCTTGCCCCTGCTGAAAATGTGGCCCAGGAATGGGAGTTCTGGGAAGTCGAAGAGCACGAAGTTGCCTACAGTTGGCTACGGGCATTCAAAATGTGGCCCGGGAATGGAGTTCTGGGAACTCGAAGAGCACGAAGTGGCCTACAGTTGGCTCCGGGCATTCAAAATGTGGCCCGGGAATGGAGTTCTGGGAACTCGAAGAGCACGAAGTGGCCTACAGTTGGCTCCGGGCATCCAAAATGTGGCCCGGGAATGGAATTCTGGGAACTCGAAGAGCACGAAGTGTGTGACTGTTGCGGCCCTCCAGAATGTGGCCCGGGAATGGAGTTCTGGGAACTCGAAGAGCACGAAGTGTGTGACTGTTGCATCTGGAATGGAATGCGTTCTGGGATTCGAAGAGCACGAAGTGTGTGACTGTTGCATCCGGGTATTCAGAATGTGGCCTGGGAATGGAGTTCTGGGAAGTCGAAGAGCACGAAGTGTGTGACTGTTGGTGAAAAACGAGCCCGGCACCCTGCCGCCCGGCAACTCCCCAACACCTGCCCGGACCCCCCTGTGGAGTGATCTGTGAGCTCTTTTGAGTCAACTAGAAACCTATCAGTCTTCGCTGTTAGGTAAAAACAGGGTGCGAGCCCAGGGAGAAGCACTTTAATTGAGAAACGCAAAGTGCACCGAGGGGGTCAACCATCATCCAATGTTCTTTAGAAGTGAAAACTCAACAGCAGCAACAACAACAAAACAACAAACCACAACAACCAAACACACAAAACACACTGGAGGGGTAAAACTGTATCTCCAGAATCACATCCGAAACACTTGAAGGGGGGATAAACGCCTCGGCGAGGGGGAACACGGCCCCCCACCTTTGGAATCGACAGTGTCGCTCAGGGGCAAGCTTGTGATGCTTGCGTGATCCAAGAAGGCCCGAGCTCCTATTGAGCGAACTGACTGAGACATCGTGACTGAAGACAAGCTGGAGCACGATGCGAACGCATATTGCCCGATTGACGTGACGTCGTCGAACATATACACGGAAGCCACAGACGAGCAATGTCTAAGGGTATTCTCGGCGATGCTGGTTGTTGATCGAAGGAACGTCACAAAGGTGAGGACGGAACAATCGAAGACCTCGACGATGCTTCTGGGGAGCGGAGACGGGACGGTGGCGGCAGTCAGCGCATGGCAGCCGCTGAACACATCCTTTCCAATGTATTCAATCTTGCTGCCAAGGACAACCGACGTAACCGACGAGCAATCCCGAAAGGCCTCGGTTCCGATCGTGATGACCGATCCACCAATAGAGACGAAGGCTAGCTGCGAGCAATTCTTGAAGGCCTGCTCGCCGATGTGACGCACGCCGCTGCCGATGTCCAGGTATTTCAGAGACGTGCAGTCCGTCCATGCCTCCGAAGCAACATCTGCGGCCAAGATGCTCAGATTGACCACGTGGTCACAACTGCTGAACATTGACTGTTTGCCGCCACCCGCAGCAATAGTTACGTCTGTGATGATTGAACAATCGTCGAAAACACCCGTGAGGCCATCAGACCGAGTGACGACAGCATTTATGTTGCAGCAGCCCTCGAAAGGTGCCACGCCCAAGCTCTGCAACGATGAACCGATCGTAACATGTCTCAGACCAGTACACAAGGCAAAAGCACGCATGCGGACCTCGAAGACAGAATCGGGAATGTGCACAACTACCAGCGAGCTGCACGACGAAAACGCTTCTGAACCAATCCAGACAACCGAATCTGGAATCTCGATCACGCTCAGGCTGCTGCAAGACTGAAATGCGCTGGAACCAATGGTGGTGACTGATCTGGGGATATTCACTTGCACGAGCGCTTGGCAGTGAGCGAAAGTCCCCTCATCAATGACTGTGAAATGGCTACCCAGACTCACTCTCTGAAGTGAGCTGCACGAAGAGAAAGCCCAAGGGCCAATATACTTCACCGGCTCGGGTAGATCCACTTGAACGAGTGAAGTGCAAGCGCTGAAAGAAGACTCGCCAATGCTGGTCACAGAAATCCGCAAACTCTCGCCTGCCGCGGGTGAAAGCAACTGCCTACCAAACCAGCCCAAACCAACCCGAAGTTACTGTTGGGATCGTTAATTTCCAGTGGGGAGGGGCTTAGTGGGCCCTGGAAACGACAGGGCCGTTTTTTCACCGGTTCCGTTCTGTCGTTTGTTTGCCGGTTCCGACGCCGTTGTTTTACCGGTTCCGTCGCCGTTTTTTGACAGGTTCCGGCTCCGGTTCCAATCCTGGAGCCGTTTGTTTGCCGTTTCGGGTCGCCGTTTTTTTGCCGTTTCCATTTTCAAGGGACATTTTTTGGGGAAACGGTGAAAAAACGGCCCTGCCGTTTCCGGGGCCCACAAAGGGGAGGGGCACTCCAGAACAGTGAGGAAACACGATGGAACCCGTACACCGGCCAACCCGAAGTTTTGGGGGGGGCCTGGGACCTTGGGGTTGGGTTGGGGTGGTGTGGTAAGTAGTGAAGAGAAGCGTCGATTAGTGAATTGGCCGTTTTCGGTTCGCGAGAGGGCGTCGCGGCCGTCATTTTTGCTGGTCCAGGTCCGTCGGTTTCGGTCCCCGGCCGTGTTCACTAAGGGGAGGTCTACTAAAGGTTTCACTAAGGGGAGGTCTACTGAAGGGAGGCCTTCGGGTTGGGTTGGGGTGGTTTGGTAAGTAGTGAAGAGAGGCGTGTGAGATAATTGGCCATCACGCCTCCCCGATTGGTGTGGAGGGTTCGTCGATGTTTGGTCGGCACGCGATCTTCGCAGATCTGTTGTCGATGTTAGTTGGCATTCGACGTTCGTGGATGTTTCAGTGATTTTCGTCGACGTTCGATTGTCACCGATTCTTTGTTAACGCTCAATCTTCGCTGATTTTTCGTCAGTTGTGTGAACCTCCCCTTGAGGTCCCAAACCCCCATCAGATGGGGGAGAGGACAAGATCTATATCAATATCCAGTGCGTCTTGGATTTTCTGGGATGAAGCACCACAAGGCCAAGCTGCACTCGATATGGATTAAGATCGAGCCTCCAGGGGGCAGATGATTACCCATATTCAGTGCGCCTCGGGTTTTCTGGAGACGGGAGCCCAAAACTTCAAGCTGTCGTGGGTATGGACAAAAATACTGCCGCTGCCACGCGTCCCCGGTGTTCACCTCCCCTAGGGGTCCAAAACCCATATCAGACGGGGGAGGGGGCACGAGCTGGCCCACGCACCTCTGGGGCCTTCGAGGCCACACAGTGAACAATCCGTAGCCACCGAGATGCTAGAGACGCTCTTTGAAGTGCCTCCAGAGAGGCTCCAACGCGCCGGAGAAGCCTCGGGGTCGCCCAAGAAGGCGTCGAGACGGCCCAACACGAGGGAAGAGGGCCTAAACAACTGATCCCCATGAGTTGTTCATGATTTCCGCATTCTCGCCTCTGCGAGCGTCTGCAAACCCAAAACGGCGCGAGAGGCCCCCCAGACTAGCCCAAGAGGACCCAAGAGGCCCCCAAGAAGGCCCAGAGACGGCCGAAGATGGCCACAAGACGGCCCGGCCCCCAAGACGGCAAAAAACTCCAAGAGGACCCAAAAACAGCCCAAGGGAGGCTCAATAAGATGAACCCATAGGAACCCCGAGAGCCCCCTCCCACAAGATGGCCCCCAAGACCCCCAACATGCCCCCAACAGATCCCCAAGAAGCCCACAGGAGGGGGATCCAAAAAGCCCACAGGAGCCTTGAAAAAACTCCAAGAAGCCGCCCGTTGAGCCTCCAAGAGGCCCCAAAGAGCCCCGCAACAGGACGACTCAGCAAAAACCACAATCAGGCAGCACGATTGGAGGTGTCAATAACCAACATGAAATCGGAAGCCGCACATCTCCTTTTCCGGGGGTCGGCGGAATGGCGCAAGTCTCTTGAATAGAAAGGTTGACACTTTGTAGCGAGCTACAGGCGTAAAAGGCAAAGGCACCAATGTACGTCACCGAGTCAGGCATGTCCATGTACACGAGCGAGCTGCAAGAGTGAAACGCCGAATGGCCGATGGCAACAACCGAACTCGATACTTCCACGTGTTCCAGCGAAGTGCACAAATGAAATGCAGAAGAACCAATAGACGTCACGGAATCTGGGATGCGCACCCGCCTGAGCGCGCCGCAAGAATGGAAAGCGAATCCAGCAATCTCAGAGACACCATCACAAATCACCACCGAAGGTTGACAGGAAAAAATTGGACCCGCTTGGCAATCTTCTTGTGTCCATGCGGCCCATGTAGGCGAAGGCGTCGGGGATGGAGCAGTCGTCGATGACGGTACGCCCCCACCACATGCACAGCAGGCCTCCAGTGCTGACGCACCCATGTTTGTCCAGTCTTCGAAGACAGCGTTTGACTGCCAACCTTGTCCATACCCACCTGAGCTCGTGCACCAGCTCATGCTGACATAATCATCGCAGTTGTTCCCCTCGGAGTCGTACCAGGTCGGCACCATCTCGGCACACGACACAATCGGTGGCGCTGCGGCGGGCGCCGGCGTCTGCGACGGAAGGCTGACTGTGATGTTCGCCTGAAGATCAAGGCCATCGCAAGAGACGGTCCAAGCAGTCCGCCCAGACGGTGGGCCAGTCACTTCGGCATGGTTAGAATACGCATCAAAATCGCAAGCACTATCTCCATCCAAATCCACCTGCGCCTTCCAGTCAGGTGCATCTTTATCGATGATCCACGCAGCACCTGCATGCATGAGTATTCCAGCGCAGGCGGGATCGTAGTAGATAACCGCCACCGTGCCTGCGCAGCAGTGCAATCATAGAGTGCCAGTTAGCAGTCTGGCTCGGTCTCTGCAGTTTTTTTCACGGCCCAGCACTCCTCGCACGAACCACCCTCCGATAATTGCCCTGGCTTTGCTCTCCGACGCTCCTTTGAGCCCCAAAACGGCCTCAAGATGGTCAAAGACCGCCTCAAGACGGCTGCAACACGCCTCAAGACCAGCACAAGACCGCCCAACGTCTCTGCAGCGGCGGCAGGGTGTCCCCAAGAGGCCTCACCATGAAGCCTCCGAAAAATGCCCGAGGAATTCCTCAGCAAAGCCCTGGGAAGCAAAACACAGTGTTCCAAATTCATCCTAGCGAAGACCTCAACCACTTCCATCTGAGAGTATTGCGTGGCAAATGAGACGAAGGAGGGGGGCCACGGAACGTGTGAGGGGTGCGCCGGAACGGATGCGGGGGCGCCATGCGAACCCTCCCGCTGGGGTCTTCGGTGGAACTCCCTGTGGCGCCACACCTTAGCGGGCCCCCGAAACGGCAAGGCCGTTTTTTCACCGCTTTCGAAATGTTGTCTCTTGAAAATAAAAACAGCCCAAAATGGCGACCGGAAACAGCCAAAAAACTGCTCCAGGATAGGAACCGGAGCCGGAACCGGTAAAACAATGGCGACGGAACCGGTAAAAAAAACGGCGTCGGAACCGACAAAAAAAAATGCAAAACGGGACCGTGAAAAACGGCCCCGTCGTCTTCAGGGCCCACCAAGCGCCACACCACGAACCGTGTGAGGGGTATGCCGACATGAATGCGGCGGCGCCACCGTCCCAATGAGGCCTCAGTGGAGCTCCCTATGGGGCCACGAAATTCGTGAGGGGTGTGCCGAATTGGGCGTGGCGGCGCCATGAGAACCCTCCCACTGGGGCCCTCAGTGGAGCTCCCTATGGGACCGCGAAACGTTCAGGGGTGCGCCGGAATGGACGCGGAGGCGCCAGGCGAACGCAGTTTCTGGGGCACTCGGTTGAGCTACCCATGGGGCCACGAAATTCGTGAGGGGTGTGACGACATGGGTGTGGCGGCGCCATGCGAACCCTCCCACTGGGGCCTTCGGTGGAACTCCCTATGGGGCCACGAACGGTGTGAGGGGTGTGCCAAAATGTGTGCGGCGGCGCCATGCGAACGCAGCCACTGGGGCTCCCCTATTGGGCCACGAACCTTGGGCGCGGCGGCGCCATGCGAACCCTACCATTGAGGCCTTCGGTGAAGGGTGTGCCACGATGGGCGCGGCAGCACAGTGTAAACCCTCCTACTGAGGTCTTCGATTGAGCTCCCTATGGGTCCACGAACCCTCTGAGGTGTGTACCGAAATGAGTGCGGCTGCGCCATGCAACCCTCACAAGGAGCCTTCGGTGGAGCTCCCAATGGGGCCATGAAACGTGTGAGGGGTGCGCCGGAATGGGCGCGGCGGTTTAATTCAAACCCTCCTACTGGGGTCTTCGATTGAGCTCCCTATGGGACCACGAACCGTGAGAAGGGCGGTCCAAAATAGGTGCGGCGCGCCATGCGAGTGCTGCTTCTGGGGCCCCCGTGGAGCCCCATATGGGACCACGAAACGTGTGAGGTGTGTGCCGACATGGGTGCGGCGGCGCCATGCGAACCCTCCCACTGGGGCCTGCGGTGGAACTCCCTATGGGGCCACGAAATGAATGAGGGGCGTGCCGTAATTGGCGCGGCGGCGCCGTGCGAACGCAGCCACTGGGGCCTTCGGTGAAGCCCACTAAAGGGCCACGAAGCGGTGCCATGCGAACGCAGCCACTGGGGCCTTCGGTGGAGCTCCTTCTGGAGCCACGAAACGTGTGAGGGGTGCGCTGGAATGGGTGCGGCAGCGCCCTGCGAACGCAGCTTCTGGGGCACCCAGTGGAGCTCCCTATCGGGCCACAAACACTGTGAAGGGTGTGCCACGATGGACGCGGCGGCAAAATTCAGACCCAGTAGGGTCTTCGATTGACCTCCCTATGAGACCACGAACCGTGTAAGGGGCGTGCTGAAATAGGTGCGGCGTGCCATACGAACCCTCCTACTGGGGCCCCCAGTGGAGCCGCCTATGGAGCCACGAAACATGTGAGGGGTGTGCCGAAATGGCCGCGGCGGCGCCATGCGAACCTTCCACTGGGGCCTTCGGCGGAACTCCCGATGGCGCAACGAACCGTGTGAGAGATGTGCCGAAATGGGCGCGGCGGCGCCATACGAACCCTACCACTGGGGC